AAGGCAATATGCAAGCTGTTTTATGAATATCCCTTCTTCAAGAAAAAACAAAGTAAGTTTAAGTTGTTTTATATGTTGTTGTTTGCTGTCGAGTCGGCCCCGACTCATAGCGACCCCTCTTTGCTCTAAAAACCAAACCAAACTCAACTGCTATCGAGTCAATTCTGACTCACAGTGACCCCCATTAGATTTCCAAGGCTGTAAATCTTTATGGAAGTGGATCATACCATCCTCCTTCTGCAGAGTGGCTAGTGGGTTTGAATCACTGACCTTCTGGTTAGCAGCCAGGTACCTTATCCACTTTGCTACCAGAGCTCCTTTATATAGTGTTAATGATGCTTTATATCTTAATTAAAGCCAGCATACTACTTACCTAGATGTGGTGCTCTGGAAGAAGACCAAAACACTGACCTGGTAACACTGCTTATTTGCTTTCCCCTATATAAGAAATCAGTCTAACTGAACTTTCTTCTAGTAAAGAAGCAATTATTTTAGAAATTTCCATGGTAAAGGTTGAGAAGAGAATTAGTAGGATAGTTAGGCCTTTAATAAGTGAATACATCAGGAAGTACTTTTAAAGAGATATTATCTACATCAAATGGAAAACAAAAAAACATAATGTAAATACCAGCTCTGAAAAGTTAAAAGTAATCCTTTAATGGAAGTGCCATTAAAAATAATACTGAAAACTCCCTGCTGGGTTGCTTCATCATATTTTTAATTTAAAAGTTTCTAAAGATGTTTATAAGGAGCCCTGGTGGCACAATGGTTAAAGAGCTCGGCTGCTAACCTAAAGATCAGCAGTTTGAATCCACTTGCTCCTTCACGGGAGAAAAGTTATGGTGATCTATTCTCAAAAACGTTACAGCCTAGGAAAACCTGTGGAGGCACTTCTGCTCTGTCACACTGGGTTGCTATGAGTTGGAACTGAGTCGTTGGCAGACAATAATGACAAAAATGGTTGTCATCATGACTATCAAGATTTATCAATACTAGTGACTCCTAACTTTCCCTTTTACCAGCTCAGCTGATCTACTGTGAAGCAGAACTGGAAGAATGGGTTTGACAGGAATAGGATGTGAAAAAACAAGAGGAAAACAGGATTTACCCAGACAGGCTCAGTGGCTCTATTGTATTTAATAACTAAGACAGAAAGAGAGAGAAGAGGGGAAAAAATAACCGAGCTGGAACTAGTAAGAGAGTTTAGGGAGCTAGAAGCATGAGAGGCAAGGGAACAACTGTGAAGTGACTACAACTGGAGAACGGAGGACTGGAATTTGAGAAAAATTGCTGTAGGTTAGGAAAGGAATAATTTTTGATGTTTCTCATGTGAGTAAATATTGAACTTTGTTTTTAAATTCTTTTTGGACTACTCGTTTGTGCTTTTACATGTAACTCAATGCAGACAAAGCCCCTGGGGGCTCCATGATATACTAGGACTAAATAAGAAAAACTCACTCTACAAGTTAATCTTCCTTTCACTAATTTAGATATTTCAGTTAAAACAAACTCCTCCCCCCCCCCCCGCCCCAAACTAAAAAGTATTTATAATCCACAACACTTACATTATGAGGACTGGTTGGTTTCCCAGGTAAGTTGGATCCTCTTAGATTAGGAGGTCTCAGCAAGAACAAGATCACTGCAATAACCATCCAGGCCATCAAGATCATGGTAATACTGATGCCATTATCACCAGAGGGTCCCGGTACTAAAGACAAAAATGTATTTGTAACAAAAACTGAAGCGTGATTATAATATTGTTAGGTAAACATAAAAACAAATTCTAATGTTTATCAGGGAGCTCTGGTGGCATAGT